GACTGTTAGACCATCCATCATGGACTGTTAGACCATCCATCATGGACGGTTAGACCATCCTTCATACCATCCAAATCCAACTAACACTTAAACCACAGGAACTCTTTACATGTTTGCACACAGCTAAAGTCAAACTGAAACACAAAGTCAGGTTCTTTAAAGTGCTAGTTATGAGCATTAAAACAACATAGTTCCCATGTGACGCAACATTCAGGACAGATTTGGTGCCATCTTCATCCATGTAGGCTGGCTCTAGCTGCAGACAGCTTAGCAAGTTTTGTCGAGTTAAAAAAAAGTATATTACAATGGCAGTTTGTGCTGGGTTAGAGGATGTTCCAATAGGGCAGACGGTTCGGGAAAGCGCAGTTTTCACTTAATCCCCAAAATCAGTCATTAAAAGCTTCCACTTCCTACATGTCTGCGTGAGTTCAGCTACAGCGTGCGCTCTCAGGACATTATTACCTGCAGTGGTCCCTCAGTGAGGACTGAACTAGGCAAAAGGGCCTTCTCTTACTCCGCTCCTGTTTTCTGGAATATCTTGTAAAAAGATCTGAAGCTCTCGACCTTGACCTCTCCGTCTTCAAACATCTGATAAGTTCCTGGCAAAAACCAATGCAGACATGTTCTTGTTTTTAGTTTTCTACACCGCTTTATAATCTAGCTGGATTTTTTTATTTTTTTTTACTACTTTTTCCTTTTGACTGTCCTTGGGGTTGCCATTTTAATTTGTAAAAAATAAAAAAAATAAAATTTGTATGCCTCTTTCATGACTGTCTATTGTCGTTGTTATCCACTGTTGTCATCATTCTTTGTTAGAATCAGGTCTTTCTTGTAAATGAGTCCGAGGCTCAATGGGATTAACCTGTCAAAACAAAGGTTGAATGAACGTAGCTCTTAGCAAGATGGCAGCAAACAGGTCTCGTCCAGTCAGGCTGTAGTTTCAGAGGTTTGGCCACTTGATGTCGTAGTTTCCTTATTTATGTCTAAATTAATCCTCCAGTCGAAAAATATTTAGTTTTATTGATATCCTGATGTCGCGCTCTGATGGCGTCAGAGACTAAAGTTATTTTACTCCAGAGTATTCGGGTCCAGCCGGGTCTGACCCGGTTCTGTCAGTCATTGATGGATCACCATGAACAGCTTACTGAACAAATTAAAACCTTCACGACACCAAACACTGACATGTTTTTATCAAACTGAACAACAAGACTCACATATTTGATCTGATTTCAGTTAATCTATATTTGTAATTATTATAAAATATTGTTTTTTAATAGCTTCCATGTCACGTGACCCAGTGACACGAAATTACTGAATGATTTTATTATAACTCAAAAAAAAATTTCTGAATTTATTTATTTTTTATTTACTCCAAGGAGTTTATCATCATCATCATCATCATTATGGGGTGTTTAAATTACTCCAAATCTCACATTTTGTAAAAAACGCCCAGAATTGAACAGAATTACGTGCACTGTTGGAAAAAATTCTCTCCTACTAACGTCGTTTACTCAAAAGAACCACAAACTCCCGGCAGGTGAAGATTTTTATCCGACTTTACTTAAAAGGGGCTGCATTCAGGACTTTACCTGCATGGAAAGGTCCAGAATGAAGCCTGGAGCACAGTCACCCTCTGACTTTTATATTATTAAGAGTTCAGGGCACTACAGTTGGTGCTTAGCTCTTTGTCAAAACAAGAAGTGTTGTCTGAGTTTATTTTAAATATCTCGGACACCAGCTTGTACTTTCTAAGTATTTCATAAAATATTCCTGTTAGGAAATTAAATATTCACTTTGTGAAACCCTTCAAAGAGTTAAGAGCCTTTAAAATAAAAGATTAGTTTTGTTTAGTTTTAGATCTATCTGAAGTATTTTAATGTGTAAAACTTAAAAAACAAACAACAGTGTCCATGTTGGTAAACTTTATTTTCAGATTTGTGTTTTCCAACAAACATTCTCAGTTTCACAATAATCCCTGAACTCAGCAGCAGAAGCTCAGAGTCGTAACTCAAAGATAAAAAATGTAGTAAAACATGAACTTAGTGTTCACAGTGCAGCTCATCATCAGGTGAGAGTAAAATCAAAGTATTAAAACGTGACAAGCGTCCTCCTGACGTCACGGTGAGTCCACAGCAGTGCAGAGACCAAGAACCAACTTGGTTCTGGAGGACTCTTCAGACCTTCAGCAGACACACAGAGTCCATGGCCAGCTGGATGCTGCAGAGACAACAACCAGAACAACAGACCAAGAGTGAGCGAACACTGTGGAGCAAATCTGTAAATCATCGACGTTCGACTAAAAGAAGCGGCAAAAAAAAAACTGAGGCTGAACGACATTATTTAGAACATCATCAGGCCAGGACTCTGCGGTCTACACTCATCTCCAGGCCAGCGGTCACTCTTTCAGGGATGAAGATGTTCACATCCTGGACAGAGAGGAACGATGGTTTGAGAGAGGAGTAAAGGAGGCCATCTTTGTGAAAAGAAACTGTCCATCATTAAACAGGGGTGGAGGCCTCCGGGTTCAACTGTCCCCCTCTTACAATGCTGTGATTGCTAGTATCACTCAGCCCTCTGTGAGTAGTAAACAGCCATCAGGTGCTAATGATCCATTGTTAGGCTGATGGTCCTTCTTGAGCATGTGAGCAGCTGGTTTTGGTTGTCAGCAGCAAAACTGGTTGATCCACTCTGAGAAGGTGCTATTTAAGAGACTGAGCTGAATACAGCACCTCAGACTGAGGAAGTCTCTTGGATGAGAGATGAAACGTTTCTACATTTTTTTGCTTTGTTTTGTTTTTTTGAATGTCCAGAGGACCAGATTGAACTTTTTTGAACTAAAATAACTAAATTAACTAAACAACTAAAATAACTAAATTAACTAAACAACTAAAATAACTAAATTAACTAAACTAAGAACTCAGTAAAGCGGTCCAGGAGGTTGTTCCTCACCAGGAAGCTGAAGGACGTTCAGTCCAGAGGTGCAGGGTGGTGACCCTGGTCAGTAAAGATCAGGGTCTGCTCTTTAACTCCAGCCCTCTGATGTCAGCACAACAAGCTGAACTTCTGCTGTTCAGCACAACAAGCTGAACTTCTGCTGTTCATGTGAACTCACACCGAGGCAGACGTGCTGCCTCTTATCGGTGCACGGAGCGGGTGAACAGCTGAGTCCGGTCTACTTACAGTTCTGATGATGCGGGTCTGGGGCTGAACTTAGCTAACACAAGGCTACGTACTGATAATCCTGGAGCTCTAGCCTTTTGCCTATCCTCCTGGTCTTAGCTGAACTGGTGGTCCAGGAGCTTTAGCTGCTTGAGCCAAACACCTGGAGTAACTGGATCCAAACTGAAGACAGCTACGGTCCAACGGTCTGGACTGAGCCTGTAAACTGGTCTAACATCTAAAAGTGTTTCTCTGAGGACGTTTAGACAAGCAGGGAGAACATCAGCCAAAGGGTTCAGACAAACACTCAGATGTCACAGAGCCAGAAAGAACATCAGCCGAAGGGTTCAGACAGACACTCAGACGTCAGACGTACTGAAAGTTCTGGTAAAGAGGAAGTGGACCTCACCTCTGAGCTGGGTATCCCCTCTCACAAAGGTTCACCAGAGCGTACAGATGTCTCAGGGCGTACTCGTACTGAAACACAACGCCACATGTGAGAAACAACACAACATCTGGAAAGAACAATCACACTTAAGAGTTTCATTCTTGGTTTTAAAAAAAGTCCAGAACCAGAGAGAACAGGTTCTGAAGGAAGCCTCACAGCTGCCTGAACGGAGCGGGGAAAATAGCGACGTTAAAACCTGCAACATATTACGAGCTTTACCAAACAGAGACAGATGTTTTCAAATATAATAAACATATTAAAAATAATAAATATATTAAATATAATAAATATAATAAATATATTAAAAATAATAAATATATTAAAAATAATAAATATATTAAATATAATAAATGCATTAAATATAATAAATACATTAAATATAATAAATACATTAAATATAATAAATATATTAAATATATTAAATATAATAAATATATTAAATACTGAGAGTCATTTAAACAGAGTCTGAACACAACAAGAGTCCTTGGACCGTCTTTAGGAGATTCACTTGACTCTTTAAAAAGTTTTATTGGAACAGAAAGTTCTGACCCGTCACAGAAGACTTGACCCAAGAACACATTTCTGCCAAGAGCTTAAAGAACCAGTTCTCTGAGCCATTTGAGAACAAAATGATGCAACAAGAACAGAGAACAGTTATGAGCCTCTTATGGAGCATAAATGGAAGTGGACAGTTTGTGGTTCTGTGTGAGGCGGTCCAGCAGAACCGGTAAAGTCCACATGCGGTTCTGTGTGAGGCGGTCCAGCAGGACCGGTAAAGTCCACATGCGGTTCTGTGTGAAACGGTCCAGCAGGACCGGTAAAGTCCACATGTGGTTCTGTGTGAGGCGGTCTAACAGGACTGGTTCGGGCGTACCTCAGGGTTGTTCCAGTTGAAGCAGCTCTGTTTGAAGTGCCTCACTGCAGCCTTGTAGCACCCGTGCTGGAAGAGTTCAGATCTTTCATGGAGGACCTCGTCAGCCTTCAGCTGACTGCCCGTTACCTTCTCCACCACGTGGCGCATGGTGTCGGCCATCTTGGTCCTGACCTGAACACAAGGTTGAAACAGAAAGGTCAGGTGAAGGTCAGGTGAAGGTCAGTTTAGTGATGGATTTACATTCCAGCTGCCTTCAGCAGAACATCTGGACTGTAAAGAACTTGAGGAAACCTTCAGGTGGGTGTTGATCTCTGTCAGCAGTTTCTTTGCTACTGTGATGTCATTGGAAGACATCAGCTTCCTCTTCATGATGGCCAGAGGAACGTCGGGGCTCGGGGTCAGGTCCAGCTCTGTGATTGGTGGAGGTCTCACCTGAGGAGCATGTGTGCTGTACGCTTTGGGGTCACCCTGAAACTGTATCACCTTCATGTGTCCTAAAGTCTGCAGAGCAGCAAAGAAACAAAGGAGAGAAGAAGAAGACGCAGCTGTTAGAGGCTCAACCTTCATCCGGAGCTCATTCTGTATGTCCTCACTTTGTTGCCGTACTGCTGGACGTGGCTCGTGTTCGTCTCCGTCTTCACAATCTTGAACTGTTTCTGCAGAGTTTCTTTGGTCAGGTCCTCCTGGAAACACCAGACGATAAAACGTCTCCACGCTGAACATTTCCTCCAAACATGTTGTACTTCTGCTGCCGTCCTGCCGTTTTAGCTTTTCTCACAACCAAACGTTCAGCTGATTCAGGCCGTGGCTGCTGTGACATTTTATATTTTATACTTTTAGTTGTACTTCATTTTAAAATATTTATACGCGGCTGCAGATTACTAATCCTGGAAAGACAACGGTGTCGTGGTGCTAACGGAGAGCGCAGCTGATGGGAGGCACTGATCTCTGAAAACCTGCTTCAGCTGCTGGCTCTGGTTTTCACTTCTTATGCTACCGTTAGCCTTCTGCTACTTTTAGCTTTATGCTAGTGTTTATACACTTTTAGCTAGGGTTCAGATTTATTTCAGCTAGTATAACACTCTCAGCTTTGAGAACTTATTCAGCTGTCTTGGTTTGTTAGAAACAAGCTTCAGCTGTTTTCAGACATTTCGCCCACTTCCTGTAGCTGCAGCCGATGTTTGAAGCGTTTAATGAAACAGTTTGAATCAAACGGTTTGAATCAAACAGAAGAAGCACTCCCAGGGTGCAGCTCAGGTTTAAAAACTTTATATGTTTTTATAAATTAATGATACATTTTATTTCATCCTACACTTTAAATAATAATAAACTTTATTAATCCCAAAGAGAAATTATTTAAAGTATTTTTAAATTTGAAACTCATTCTTCCAACTTTATCTTGAATCTGATCATAATTAGTTTCATAACTTCATGATTTTGATAACCGGAGTCCAAAAAGAAAAACTAAATTATATTTGAGTTTTGACCCGTGAGTCTGAAGAGTTTTACCGGTACATCGTCTCCATGACTCCGTGTAAACATTAAGAAAAGATTTGACGTTGGTCGGACACCCAGAACCTTCTTAACACCAGATGTTCCTCTGCCCTGTATTAGAAGACGTCAGGGGTCCAGGTGGTCCGGTACCACTGGTAAGACGTACCAGAACCTTCCTCTAATTTAAAAGTTCTGCTCACAGACCTGTTGATGCACAGCGCCAGCAGCTGTAAGACTGATTGGAGCGGCTCGTCACGACCCGCCTGCAGCTCAGAGTTCATTAAAAAAGTTCTGTTTGGATAAGAACGGACCTGGTCCGAGTCCTCCATCCAGTTCACGCTGTACCAGTCCCCCAGGTAGGTGTCCCTCTTCTCATCGTAGTAGCAGGCGTAGGAGGACTCCTGAGCGTTGGACGCAGTGGTGGCGTACACTGAAGAACACAAAGTCCCAGTTTGAAAACTACACAAACTGAGCTGAAAGCAGCAAAAGACTGGCTGAAAGCAGCAAAAGACTAGCTGA